TTTTGGCCGACCGCTTTTGCAGTCATTTTAACGCCCGTGGCTTTACGAATCGTTTCAAAAGTTGAATTCAACTTCAAAGTAATAATGTACATTACCATCTTTGTTTCTTAAGTCCAAAAAGCTGCTTTCAATCTGCGATCTGTCGTCAAAACTTACTTGAAAGCGCTCCAATCTTCATGTTTTCACAGTGGTTGTAGGAAGAAAAACTTCTTAACCAGAAAGTTTTGAGGACTCTGTACTCCTTGATCCTCCATTCTGAGGCCACCTAAACATTGATTTGTAATTTTCCTTTCTATTTTAAAGCCCAAATCAGTAATTTATCCATGTCAGGAATGAAAACAAGACCTTGGAAGTTTATAGATTTCGCCCGCAACGCACCATGATTACCTGCACTTTGCGAGCGCGCCATTTTAAGAAGAAAAACCGTCTTTCTAGGACCCCTAAAGTCCTCTAAAAATATGCTCAGAAAGCCCATTCTGATTGGTTTATTTGTCCTCAAGAACAATAGAACAATAGGAGAACCAAAAAGTCTTCAGGGAGGGTAGGAAAGGTAATTGTCCCCACGTGCTATTTTTCGGGCGGTTGCGGGCGGCACAGGGAAATGGAGGAGTTTTTCGCACGGGCGGTTACGGGCGGCACAGGCGTCAATGGGTTAAAGAAAGGGACGAATTGGTTGTATATTTGTTGGATCTAAAACTGACAATGTTCCTTATCTTGATAACTAGAGAAAAGAATAAGAGCTGTTACCGGCAACCCATTGCATAGGGAAGCTTTGACCATTCTTTGTTATAAAGTATGTGAAGGAGTAGCAAGAGCACTAGAGAGATGTATTGAAATTCATGAGCAACTCCACTCGCTAAGCATGTTAGGTAAAGTGACTCGTACTCTGTGAACAGAAAAGCTGTACTAGAAGAAAAGCGGCTAAGAACAGGCAGTAACAGCAATGATATCTTCTATCAATCGACCGACCCATCACACAAACATGCTGAGCTAGTTGTGAAATATATGTGCCAAAAAGCACGAGTTAAGGTCATTCCCCAGTATTGCATTGCGCATCCCTAATGCGCATAATTTCACGCGTGATTAGCGTGCGCGCATTAAAAAATGGTGGCTTTTTGTTTACAGCTGGACCTCACCATAGAGGTAAATCGTCATTTTCTCGCAAACGACTATGGTGACCTGTCATTTTTTTCTGTTGTTTTGAATTGAGTAATAAATTTCTCTGTGTAAAATAAATATGGACCGATTCTCAGTGTAGAGCAAAAAGCAATCGTCAGAAACATGAATTTAGCAAGCAATCCTAACTACGATCATGGTGCTATTATAAGGATTTATATGGGTATAAACAAGGTGCTTTTGCTCCTAAACGAAGATGGGGACCCTTCATTTTTATTTCAAAATTTAAGTTCCTATAATATAAACAATCAATAGGCAAAGTTTCACAAAAATCTCAGTGTAGGTTCTATTTCAGTGGAATGACCTTAAGTATGTGCTATTTACCGCCATTTCCTGGGGGGGGAGGGAAACAAAGAAATAGTGTGAATTTTAATTTGCATTTAGAGAGTAAAACACAGTTGCAGATGGCACAGATTATACCAAGTAGCAACTAGCTGTTGGAAAGTGTTATCCAGTGTATCTAAACAGAGCTTGAAAAAACACCTGTCCACTTGTACGGGACAAGTGCATTTTCCTGTCGGGCAAGTAACTTTCTCTGCCCACTTGCTACGGACAAGAGCCAATGAGCACGCATTAATTTCTGCAGTTATCGTAAAAAAGGAGTTTGCTGTATGATTGTTTTGATTCACTTTTCCTTGATTTACTCACATATTTACAGTTTAAATGCTAACATATTTTTGCCTGAATTTGTGGTGACGTGACTGTACTGAAGATGGGGGTCTTGTATGATTGATCCCAAAGTTGACACATTTTAGTCTGTAGAAAAGGTCAGAAATATTGGAATGATGTGAAGTATGTATGAAATAATTCACATTTGAAGTGCGGTCATAGATGAAAGTGAAGAATGATCATCGCAATAAATTTTTCCAATTTCAGCAATTGGAAAGAAGCCTGAAAAAATCAGGGCTTCAAGGAAATGTATGGCGAAACGTTGTTTTGAGGTACAAGAAAACGATTTTTGAGAGAGATCGGCGCTTTTTTGCCATCATTTTTATCGCGAATGGATTTGGGCAATGTTGATATGTGGAATATGTAAGTTTTTGTTTGAATAACCGTGAAATATGTGACAAAATCTACTGATAAACTCTGTTGCTTGTGTGAGGTTTTATTATTGTGAAAATTACATCCCGTAGTGGTCTGAAAATATTACAAAATTAATTAGGTATAAATTGAGAGGAAATAACCCAATAAGGCCTTTTAAATTGTGTACAGGCTACTTTTGGCTTATTTGAAAGTTCAGTCATACAAATAATACTGGAAATAAGCCCGGTGGTGATCATTGTACTGCTGTGTGGCTACTGTGTTGCTTAAAGCCTTTTTTTTTTGCATTTACAAGCACGTATTTCAGTGATTTTCCTTTTCTAAAACAGATCAAGGGTGGCTCCTTGAATATATCTCTGAGTATTTGTATTAAGAAGTGCCATTTGTGCATGATGATGCTATCCAAAGTTTGGTATTGATGGTTGAGTGAAATTGCCACAAAGGGTAGTAGTTCCTTCTGCAATTTTCAATTTCTGGTTTAGAGCTTCTTTTCTGTCTTTATATTTAACTTCTCGGAGAGTCTTTTCTACCATTTGCTCCGGGTAGCCTCTCGAGATCAGGTGTGTATTGAAGTTTTCAATATTCTCTTCAATGTATTTCACAATAAACCTCACGCAAGCAAAAGGGAGTTTATCGGTAAATTTTATCACTTATTTCATGGTTATTCAAACAAAAACTGACATTTTCCATGTATCAACATTGCCAAAATCCATTCGCGATAAAACAACGGCAAAAAAGCGTTGATCTCTCCCCAAAACAATGTTTTTTGGGCGTCGAAACAACTTTTCGCCATACATTTCCTTCTAGCGACTTGCAATGTTTGCCCCCTGACGATCCCAGAGTTCCTTGCGCAAACACGGGTATCCGATTACTGGCAACTCATTCATTCCGATACTTCAAATAAGTGAACTGAACATGTTGTCATCTGACAATGGGTGCAACTGTAAACATTTCTCAAGGTATTCAATTCTCATTGTTCAACAAATTTCTAACAACCTGTGCATCCTCTGGTATGGAGTCAGCATATTCTAATGCACTTAAATGTGTAGGATTTTAAGACATGTCAATAACTAGCATTAATCATGAATTTTGCTTTTATTAACTTTGAGGGACACTGTAGACATTGTTAATTATATTTGGATTTCTAACTTTATTTCTGGTCTGGAGTGAGGTGGTAGATTTTGAAAAATACTGGTAGATTTCATAAACAAAGGTATTGAAACTAATTAACAGCAATCTTTCTGTCCCTTAGACAAATTCTAAGGATGGAGAACTGGACGACAAGTTCCAGAGCTTGTCTCTGAATAACAATGAAAAGAAAGCTGATACACCAATAGAGGAGGTAAGTTTATGATTTTAGGATTTTCAATCAAGCAACCACTTTGAGCAATACTAAACACCTGCAAGAATTACATACATCTCTGCATACAAGAAATCAAATTTTTTTCTTTCAAAGACCAATAAAGTCGTCTATCAGACTTTGTTTTTTAATTTTTCTTTGTCAATTTATATTAAGCAAAATTTCCAGTGTCAGTATCAACTAACTTGCATGAGGGGTTCAAATTCAACATATTTTTTGGATCTAAAGAGGACATTTGTGGCATTCTGTGACTTGACAGTATTGCATACATTTTATGACATGGCTTTAATCCACATTGAATGAACACGTGTTGTTACTACTTTAATGCAATGTGTCGTAACATTCACCAAATCTTTTGTTTCCTAAAATTTAAAGAATCTTGTTCATAAATTGCTCTGACCATTACAGATTGCTTCTACTGCAAAGAAACTATGGGATGTTCAAGACTCTGGCGAGGAGAATCAAGGGGGTATGACATCTGGCATTTTCTTTGGGGAGCAGTGGAGGGAGACAGCCTGGGGCCCATCAGTACCTCATATGGCACAGTCGGAGCATGCTGTGTCGCAGCCAATCATGGTACAGCGTCCAGCCAAAGGGTCAAACTTTAATAGTACTGCAGAGTCTCAGAGTGTACTGTCGCCCAGATCAGCTGATGGAGTAGGACTCAGCATGGTGGAATATGTCTTAGCTTCATCTCCTGGTGGCCAGGAGCTAGATGCACAAATAATTAAAGCTGGATTTGTAAGTTTAATGTTACTTTGTTTGACATTGCTATTTTGATAATTGATCATTGAAGTTGGAGTATCTGATTAAGAAATGCTGGATTATTAATCCCAGATAAATAACAAGGATCAATGAAAAGGAAAATGATCTATTATAGTAGTGTGACTGAGTGGATAATACAACCCAAGGTTAACATCAAAGGTTTTGTGGGTTGAATCTATGGGTTGGAGCTCCTGATTTTTGTTTCTTTCATGCCTTCTTTGCAGTTGCTTAAATTGAAATGTGAGTGTTCAGTGACAAGTTGTTTGTGCATTTGACAAAACAGTTTAGGAAAGTGAGGTTTCTTAAAGCAGAAATTGAGGGATGGTCTTGCGCACGTTTTGACGCGAAAGGTTGTCTTTGATTCTAATCTACTGTTTAGAAAAACAGAAAAATCTTGCAATCTCCCTCAAAATGTTTGCCGAGACGATAATTTAATTTTTATTTTGTTTGTTAGAAAACAATTAAGCTAACAAGCGAGTAGTAACTAGAGCTAAAAGTATTTCAAAATATGCTCGAAAATCTTCACTTCTGGCATAACAATTGTGGTAATCATACCCATTGTTCCCTCAAAGGCAGTGCTGCAAAAATCATTCCAATTGTGCCCACAGATTGTTCCTATTTGTGCCCATTTTCATGCCTTCATAATGGTTCCTATTGTTCCCTGTATCGTGCCCTCTGTAGCTCTATGTAGCAGCTCCAACGTTTGCATCGTGCCATCACGTCTTTTTAATCACACTCCACTTAACCTGCAATCAGACGTTCTTTTTTTTCTTGCTCACACCATGCCTGCCAAATACAAATTTATGTCATTACAAGAATGTTGGTCCATGAGATGCGATGAAAGCCCAAAACAGTGTTTCTGCTAGACCACGCCATTGCGGGAATCCTGTGTTGCAATCAGAGATGGAAGAAAGGGCCAATTTAGTCTTTTCCTTTTTTGAGGCTCTAGGCTTAACACAGGCATGGTATTTTCAGAGCCATCGGGTAGGACTCGAAACTGCAACCAATACGGTCACCAATGCAACTAACATTTCATCCTTGGCGACCAAAAATTCTGGTTTAGTTGCCATGATGGCAACTACATTTCTCTGTGTTTATGATCAATAACAGTTATCTTGTCACATTATGTCCTTCTAGAAAACCATATTGAAAGATCTTTGCGTCTAAAACATTCAACTTAAGAAAAGAAGTCAATCCATCCTTTTGTTTTGCTGTATTGATTCTCTCACATCAGAAAACTTCCAAATGGCTGACTGTGTTTGAAATCGCCCTATAATGCAGTGCAAACCCTTGATCATTGACTATGTAATGTCTGCAGAGTTCGTACAGGTCCTGGAAAACCTGGAAAGTCCTGGAATTTTACTGTGGCATTTTCCTATGGTTCGCCATTCGTTTCAAAATTACAACAGGATATGCGCGGGTTTTTCTGCTGCGTATACTAGTTTACATATGTTACGTATGGGCTTTAAGCTCATATATATACAACCGTTTAGATCGCGTATATATGCATTTGTAAAGGGCCACACATTAGTGTAAATTCAAGCACGGGGATATACGAAATAAATGCCCAAATATACGCGTCCTACAAGGACCCATATATACGTGTGCTAAAATGCGCGTATATGCGGGTCTTGTAAATTACGTTTTATATGCTAACACGAAATGTGCCTTTTTAAGAGAATGGCTGTTCATGTATGATAGCAATGAAAATTACTTTAACTAGGAATCGTCAATATGGTGGCAGTGGTAAAATGGCTTGTCTTGCTCTATCTGCTATTTAATGTTTGTTACTGCAGCTCTCCAGTGAATGAACTTCTAGAAATAATTAGGCATGTTTTGAATGACTGTTCAAGATTTTATCCTAACGCTAATTGTCGTGAAGTTGCTGTGGATTACTCTGTACATCATTTAGTGGCCTGCGTAGCTTGGCGGTTTTTAGGCAATTTGAATGCACTAAGAAAGCGGCAAAGACGGATAACGAGCGCCAAATGCGGCATAGCCAAAAGGAGCCTGGGGGAGTTCCTGCTTGTTTTCGCGGCTTTGTCACTTTGTGCGCTTGTGCTCAAATTGCTTAAAAAATATGCTAAACCGTCAAGCTACACAGGCTAATCCTTTAGTTGATTCATTGGACAGAGGTACCAAGGCGAATGCTGAGAGGATACGGCCTCTAGAATTGCTGGTGAGGCAAATGTAATATTTACTACTTAGATGGGAAATGTTTGCATTAAGAGCAGTTTTATGCACCTCAGTGTACTCCCATCAGCTTCTAATGGAAGAGTGGGTTGTCCAGCCCATGATATATCAATACCTCAAGGGGAATTTTAGGAAACAGAATGTGATTTTAGTGTAAGTCCTATTGGGTCTTCACCAGATAATTCAACTGGTTGGGTGTTATCATCAAATGTGTCCCTGACAGCTAGTATTTCCAGTATTACATATATCTTGTAAAATCACAGCGTTCACCCATATTGGTTGTGCATGCAGCATGGTTATTCCATGCCTCAGCTAGGAGGTTTAACTGGTTGTTAATTCTGGAAAGAAATATGTAATTCAAATAGAACAGATCAATTATGCTGCTCGATTCCAGGACGCCATTTTCTTCCATCTGGTATAACAGAGTGTAGTAGAACTGACCGACTTCAATAAAGACTTCTCTCCAGAGACGTTCGATTCACTGGTTGTGTACAGACAACCCAGCGATTTTGCTTCCCTTATTAAATCCCCTGTGCCATAGCATAGCTCTTCCTACCTCTAAATTTTCATCCCCTTCGTCTGAACACACTCTAGAGGGCAATCCATAACTTTGCACAGCAGCTAAGAACAGAGCCGCGAGCCCAGTCGCAGCAGAATTTTTTGTTGCACAACTTAAAGTCTAAAGCCCTGTCAAAACCACCATGTATTATAAACCTCCAACTGATAAGGCAGTGTAGTCCATCAATGTGCCAGAGAGAATTAGGTCTCCTGACGCCTTGTGATGGTATTGAACCACCTCAAATCAGACCCTGCTGGGTTAGTTCAAAAAAACCTTTCCCTTGCACACTGACGCTGAACATAGATGTTTCTACTTCGCAAATGACCCAGCATGATACTGATACCAGAATTGGAAAACCCACGTCAGTCTTATTTCTCGAATCATCAGGGCCGGGTTTTTCGAAAGCCGGTTAACGCTAACCCAGGATTAAAAGTTTACCCAAATATAAATTTTTCTCTATAAAAATGTCTTCCACTGCTTATGCTTTGTGTAGTTTGCAATTACTCAAGTTCAAAACTGAACTGCAAACATTTCCCATCTATGTAGTAAGTATTGACTTTGTCTCACCAGCAATTCGAGAGCCAGAATTCTCTCAGCATTCGCTTGGACACCTCTGTCCTAGACGGTGAACAGAATCCACAGTAACTTCATGACAAACAATCAAGTTCTCTGCCATGTTACGATTAGTGTGGGGATAAAATCTTGAACAGTCATTCCAAACACGCATAATTGTTGCTACAAGTTCAGTCTCTAGGGGAGCTACAGTAACAAACATTAAATAGCAGATAGAGCAAGACAAGCCATTTCGCCACTGCCGCCATATTCAAGATTTTTAGTTCAAGTAATTTTCATTGCTATCATACACGAACAGCCATTCTCTTAAAAAGGCACATTTCGTGATAGCATATACAACGTAATTTACAAGACCCGCATATACGCGCATTTAGCACCCGTATATATGGGTCCTTGTAGGACGCATATATTTGGGCATTTATTTCGCATATCCCTGCGCTTGAATTTACGCAAATGTGTGGCCCTTTAAAAATGCGTATATACGCGATCTAAATGGTCGTATGTATGAGCTTAAAGCCCATACATAATGTATGTAAACAAGTATACGCGACAGAAAAAGCCACGTATACCCTGTCGTAATTTTGAAACAAATGGCCAACCATGTTTTCCAGGACTGGAAAGTCCTGGAAAAGGGCTACTGGTCCTGGAAAGTGCTGTTAAACTCATCACAAATAGATGAGCTTGGGAACTGGTGCCTGAAAGGTTAGCGGGGAGCAGAAGCCGTACGGGAAAGGGGACGTATCCATGGCAACCCTGGAAGCGGAACCACCCAAAGGAAACCTTTCTCCAGGTGCTTGGAGAATGGAGGGACCCGAGAACAGGGTGACCTGGAACCTCCAATCCCCAAATACACACGAAGCACCTAGCCCCACACAAACAAAGTGCAAAAAGGAGCAGCACACACCTGACCATGCAGACGTCCACCTGATACTGCAGGTCCAAGAAGCTGAAGGCGCTCTGAAGCAGAAGCAAGACACAGGCATTAAGAGGTGAAACAGGTGACCAGCAAAGCCTAAGCCAGTGTTGAGCAAAATGGCACAGGAACCACGAAGGGTATGTGGCTGGGGGGCAAGTTTGCTGTGATGCTGGGCAAATGGCCTGACAATAGCCCGATGATCTGGTAGTCCACAGCCAGCGGAAGTGGTGCAGCCCTAGTTGGAGATCGATGGCCACTGAGAAGACTCCAGCTTAGTGGAGAGGGCTGCTAAAGACTCTGACGGGGTCCTGATGTAAAGCTGATAGGTAGAGCTTGACCAGCAACCCAAGGCTTGTATTAGATGATCAGGAACTCCATTGCGTGCCGCCACAGTGGCAGCCCTGATGCGGAAACTGTGGCTAAAGAAGTTGCCTGGAATGTTCACAGAGGCCAGGATCTGCCGAAGCCAGTCCATGAGCAAAGCACGCGAAAGAGGCTGCCCATTCTGGAACAGGAACAAAGGACCTGGAACGTCGCCTCTACTAGCAAGATATGTCATCACTGAATGGACCGCGCAGAGTGGGGGCCGGCCAAGGCCAATGTGGATAAAGGCACCCTTCCTAAATGGATCAGTCTTTGAGCCCTTGATCTTTACACGCATGCACGCAGGCGCAGACAGGGAATCCGCCGCAATGTCTTGCACTCTTAAATGAAGTGATGTAGAGAAGCTAGCCAGACTGGGCACTGTGAACTCTGAGGTGTGGAGAAAGCCAAAGTACGCAAGGGAGCAAGCAGCCCAGAACATGAGGTGATCTGGGAGATGAAGATCCAGAGACTGCCATATCAGTAACATCAAGTCATCGGTAATAGGCAAGTGGAATGAAGATGAGGAGCCCTGACAGCGCTTGATACTGCAGACCACCCTCTGAAGGCAGAGATAGTTGGCAAGGGGGTCTGGAAACCCCTGTTCAATGTGGAGTGCTCTAACCCCGGACAAGTAGACCTTAATGGAGGAGTGCTGAATTCGTTTGGCCAAGAAGGTAGCAAAAAGGCACAGCGTCCATTCGTCAGCTGGACAAGGAGAACCCAAGGAATGGAGCTTACCAAGTTGAGTGCAGAAAGAGATAAACTGAGCTAGGACCGATGCAGAAGATCGACAGGTAGAGGGGGCAAGGCCTTGGGTCAAGAAGGAGTAGCACTGCTGTTCTAAGGCGGGATGTCAAATCTGCCAGGAGTTCAAGCGGTATCAACATGGGAAGAGGCTGCGCATCCGGGGCCAAGTGCTGAAATTCCTACCAATTGAAACGAGGTAACGCATCAGCTAATTGATTGTTAACACCAGGTACCTGCTGGGACAAAAAGGAGAAGCTGTGACGCGCAGCGGAAAATTACAGACTGCGCAGCAACCGCATTAGGCAAGGCACTCTTGATGTTCTGGTATTTAAGATGTGGACTACTGCGTTGTTGTCAGAGCGGAACAGGACATGTTTTTTGACCCAGAAATGTCCCCAGACATGAGCTGTGAGAACTATACGGAAGAGCTCCTTGTAGGCAATAGACTGGCTGCTGGGATGGAGCCCAGGAGCCAGCAAACCAGTGGCCCCTCATGTACGCTCCATAGCCGATCGAGCCTGCAGCATCGGATGACACTTCCACATCAGCCTCGGGCAGCAGTCCTGGGAAGAGCCAGAAGCTAACGTCATGCCAATCCTCCAAGAACTGGTGCCACCATAGAAGATCCAGATGAAATTCTTGGTTAAGAAAAATGGGGTGATCTCTCCTCCGAAAGCAGCATAACAGGTCAATCATGCGGCGTAAGAATGTCCTTCCCGGCCAGACCACCTTGGCAGCATGATGCAAGTGTCCAATAAGGGATTCAAGCTCACATCTGTTGCACCATTTTCAAGGGAGCCAAGAATCGATCAGATTTTGCAGCGGTAACAACTTCTCCTGTGGGAGACGTACCACTTGGTTGACAGAGTCGAGCTCAATACCCAAGACAACGAGCACTGTAGAGGGGCCCACACACTTGCCAGGATGCAACGGTAGACCAAGCCGTTGACACACCTCCAGAGCAGTAGCCAAATTCTGTGCGCTGGAGGGACTGGGCAGGGCCTGCAGTAATGAAGTTATCCAAATAATGGAGGAGATCTGGAATCTGGTAGGAATTGAGGAGGATCCACTCCATGTTTGCGATGGAGTTAAAAATAAATGGAGCCGATCGAAGGCCAAAGGGGAGAACCAGGTCCAGAAGAATGCAGTGGGAGGGGTGTACGGGCACATTGTGGTAGGCGGCCTCCACATCAAATTTAGCCATGTGGGCCCCCGGACCAAGTTTGGAGACCAGGCGGATCACCTGATCGACTGTGATGTAATGAAGGGTGAATTTGTCCAGGTCAATCCCATCGTTGACACTAGCCCCCCCCCCTCCCCCCCTGGGGAGGAAAGGTCCACGATGAGGCGCCACTTCCCTGGTTGGCCTCTTTTGGGAATAACCCCAAAGCTGCTAACATGAAGATTCGGGTAGGGAGGAACACTGAAAGGACCTGCCACCCTACCTAGGGAAACCTCGTTGGCCAAATA